ATCTAACAGATAACAGCTTGTTTGATATTAATAATAGCAAAATGTATTCAATGATTATAGCTTATGTGTAAGTGAAATCAATGACGATGACACAAGGAATGAGAGGGAGGAATTAGTAATATTTTGTTGTCATAGGGTCCTTTACCACCAGTGAAGCAGTACAGTATTATTTGAAAGTGGACTTGGATTTGTGTGTGTGTGTATACTGTGTATTGAACCGAAGGGCACTCTACCACTGAGCTACATCACTTTTTTTTTTTTTAATTTTAATTTTGAGAGAGGGTTTCACTAAATTCTTGAGGCTGGCCTTGAACTTGCAATCCTCCTGCCTCAGCCTCTGGAGTTGCTAGAATTAAAGGTGAGTGCCACCATACCCAGCTGACTTGGATTACTTGTAAATGTTTATTACAAACTTTAGGGCAATTGCTAAAAATAGTAAGATAAGTATTATTGATATCTTAAGAAAGGATAAAAATGGAATAAAAATTGCTCCACAAAAGATATTTTTTTTCACACAAAAGATGTGAAAGATAACAATAGGAACAAAGAACAAGAGCAACAAATAGAAAACTGCAAAAAATGGTAGATCTTAATTCAACTACATCAATAATTACTTTTACTGTCTAAAGTTAACTAAATACAGAAATTTCAGGATGATTCAAAAAAGAAGACTCAATAATTCAGTGTCTACAAAAAACAGTCTTTATATATAAAGACATTTAGATCAAGAATAAAGGGATAGAGAAAGATGTACCATGCTAACTCTAATCAAAAGAAAGGAGGAGAAGTATATTAATTTCATACAGGGCAGACTTCAGAGCAGGGAATGTTAACAGGGTTAAAGAGAGGGTTTACATAACAATAAAGGGGACAGTTCTCCAAGAAGACAAAATAATCCTTAATATGTTTTTGCCTCACAAAGAATCAAAATATATGAGGCAAAAACCTCATAGAACCTCATGGAGAAAGAGATGACTCCACTACTATAGTAGGATACTTTAACATTCCTTTATCAAAAATGTACAGATACATTGCTCTGTAGTATAGTTTAAGGTCTGGTATAGTGATGCCACCTGCTTCACTCCTCCTGCTAAGGATTGCTTTAGCTATTCTGGGTCTCTTATTTTTAAAGATGAATTTCATGATTGCTTTGTCTATTTCTAAGAGGAATGCCATTGGGATTTTGATCAGAATTGCATTAAATCTGTATAGTGTTTTCGGAAGTATGGTCAGTTTGATGATATTAATTCTGCCTATCCAAGAGCAAGGTAGATCTTTCCATTTTCTAAGGTCTTCTTTGATTTCTTTCTTTAGGGCTCTGTAGTTTTCATTGTATAGGTCTTTCACCTTTTGCTAAGTTGATTCCCAAGTATGTTTTTTTGAAGCTATTGTAAATGGGGTAGTTTTTCTCATTTCCGTCTCAGAGGATTTGTCTCTGATATACAGAAATGATTTCATAACCTGATACTTTGATGAATTCGTTTACCTTAAACTATACTACAGAGAAATAGTAACAAAAAACAGTATGGTATTGGCACCAAAATAGACTAGTTAGACCAATGATACAGAATAGAGGACACAGAGACTAACCCACAAAATTACAATTATCTTATATTAGACAAAGGCGCCAAAAACATGCATTGGAGAAAAGATAGCCTCATCAACAAATGGTGCTGGGAAAACTGAAAATCCATATGCAATAAAATGAAATTAAACCTCTATCTCTCACCATGCACAAAACTCAACTCAAAATGGATCAAGGACCTAGGAATTAAGCCAGAGACTCTGCATCTAATAAAAGAAAAAGTAGGCTCTAATCGTCATCATGTGGGATTAGGCCCCAATTTCCTTAATAAGACTCCTATAGGGCAAGAATTAAAACCAAGAATCAATAAATGGGATGGACTCAAACTAAAAAGTTTCTTCTCAGCAAAAGAAACAATCTGTGAGGGAATAGAGAGCCCACATCTTGGGAGCAAATTTTTACCCCTCACATATCAGATAGAGCACTAATCTCTAGAGAATATAAAGAACTCATAAAGCTAAACACCAAAAAACAAATAACCCAATCAATAAATGGGCCAAGGACATGAACAGACACTTCTCAGAAGAGGATATTTAATCAATCAACAAATATATGAAAAAAATGTTCATCGTCTCTAGCAATTAAAGAAATGAAAACCAAAACTAGTCTAAGATACTATCTCACTGTAGTCAGAATGGCAGCTATTATGAAGACAAACAACCATAAGTGTTGACGAGGATGTGGGGAAAAAGGTACACTCACACATTGCTGGGTGGGACTGCAAATTGGTGCAGCCAATATGGAAAGCAGTATGGAGATTCCTTGGAAATCTGGGAATGGAACCACCATTTGACCCAGCTATCCCTCTCCTCGGACTATACCCAAAGAACTTAAAAACAGCATACTACAGGGACACAGCCACATCAATGTTTATAGCAGCACAATTCACAATAGCTAAACTGTGGAGCCAACCTAGATGCCCTTCAGTGGATGAATGGATTAAAAAAATGTGGCATATATACCCAATGGAATTTTACTCAGCAATAAAAGAATAAAATCATGGCATTTGCAGGTTAATGGATGGCGTTGGAGAAGATAATGTTAAGTGAAGTTAGCCAATCCCAAAAAAATCAAATGCCAAATGTTTTCTTTGATATAAGGAGGCTGACTCATAGTAGGGTAGGGTAAAGGGGCTTCTTGCAGCAAATAAGGTGCAAGTCCCAAAAGGGCCTGACTGCATAGACTGTTGGTCAAATCAAAAGCAAACTATTGGTGCTTTCCTGAGGCTGAAGGGGGCAATGGGGAGGGAATGAAAATAGCTTTCTAATGAGGGTGATGGGAAAGTTCTAAAATTAGATTGTAATGTTGCTTGAGAAACTCTGTAAAATTAGCAAAAATCACTGAATTTTACATATTTTTGGTGCAATTTAACTTTTCTTTTCTTGAGGTGCTGGGGATTAAACCCAGGGATCAAGGATGCTTTATCACTGAGCTACATCCCCAGTCCAGTGTAATTTAGTTTTTCTTTTTGCCCTTTTTCCTCTCCTCTGCTATACTTTATTAGTTACTTTATCAAGTAGCCCATAGAATTAGGCTCATTTTTCCCTGTGTTTATATAGTCACATGCTGGCATATAAACACACATACATAGTAATTGTTTACAGAACTAGAATCCCATTACACTCAATTTCCACATCTTGCTTTTCTCACCAATTATTGCTCATGGAAAGTCCACCCACTCACCTAACTCACCTCTGGTCATCATGAATACTGTCTTACATTTTTTGATTGACATGATTCCTGCTTTAACTCTCTCATGTAGCAGTCCCGAGGCCTTTCTACCGAGGGACAGGAAAGACATGCCACAAGACTGCTGAGACTCCTTGTTCCACATTCTACTTGGAGCTGGCCTGCTTGAGGGGCATCTCCTTTTTCAGCTGGAGGATTCCAATCTATTTCAGGGTGGCAGAAATGGCTTTGCTTGTGGGAAGGAGGTGAGGAGCAAATGAGGTGCCCATGACGACAGCAGCCATACTGCTGTGGGGACAGAGGCAGAGGAACATAATTCCAAGGGGCCAGGATCCCGCATTCCCTGGGCATCTTACTTATGAGGACCTTGTTTTAAAATATGGTGTATAATAGCTGGATGTGGTGGCACACACCTGTAATACCAGCAACTCTGAGGCAGGAGGATCCCTAGTTCAAGGCAAGTCTAGGCAACTTAGCAAGATTCTGTCCAAAAATGTAAAATAGAAGGCAGGAGCTGGGAATGTAAGTCAGAGGTAGAGTACCTCTGGGTTCAGCCCCCAGTATATCAATCAATCAATCAATCAATCAATAATTTTAAAATATTGTGTGTTAATAGAAAATTGAAATTCAGTAAGGCCAACAGACCAAGAAATGATTACTATTGAAAATAGAGTGGAAAGGGGTAATATGACATGATGTGTGTGTGGTTGGAGGCACCAGAGGAAGCACCAGTGTTGATCCAAGGACAGGGTAGGAGTGGGGAAAATATGGAAGAGCTGTTAGTATGGCTTCCATGGGAAAGAATAAGGCAGGCAGGGTAAGGTTTAGGATCAACTAGTCTTAATAAATACAGCAAGCCCTGGAGTACAGAGGCTGTTACAGGTTTGTGGTAACTGATCCTGCAGTGATTACAGAAAGTAAATAGTGTAAAACTTCAACACAGGAGGTGGTTGGGAGCATAGGCTCTGGTTGGTTTGCATTTGTAAGGCACACAATCCCAAGGAATTATTTAATGCCTGAAAGAACAATTCATCCAGGGTCAGGAAGGCCCCAGCCATCAAAGCACCAGAACAACACAAGACATGGCTAATACAGGGCTGCTCTGTGGTCTTTTGTCCTACATAGCCTCAGTACGCAGCTCTCTTTGTGGAGATATGATTTGTTTTCTTACTCAGTATGAAATAAGAAAAAACAAGTTACACCTCTTAACTTTATTGTAAGGATTGTTGTTGTTATTTTTGTTGGGGTGCAGGAGACTCCCCCTTCTTGGAGAACATCATGGAATCCCTTACTCCTCTCCCTCCTCTCCAAAGGGCACCAAGCCAAGAGTGCCAAATTCAAAGGTTTCCTCAACCAATCCCCAAAGGACACAGTGTCCACTCGCTGTTCCTGAGTCACCCTGCCAATCAACACCCGCCATGTCCCCTACGCAACCCTTCTTAAGCCAAAGCTTGTAAGCACACGCTCTCTTCTATCTGTTCTCTGCCCTCTTCCTCTTCTTTCTCTCCTCTCTCTACCCTCTCTCTCTCTCTTTCTGCCCTCTTCCCTCTCTGCTCTCTACCTCTCCTTCAGGCAGCCCCCCCCCCCAATAAAATCTCTTGGTTGAATCTCCATTTCGGGTGAGTCACTCGCCTTTCTGTCGTCGTCGTCGTCATCATCATCATCATCATCTCTTCAGTAGTTGGGTGTGGGAGACCAATCTTGCCTGTGACTGGGTCTGACTCACGCTGCTAGACAGCCCGTCTTCTGGGGTTCCAGCAACTGTGTCTTCGTGTAGGGGCGTGTCTCTCCACATCCCCAGGGATCCAGTCACCTCACCTGTCCTTGTAACCCTGCCCCCCTTGACCCTCATTGGACCGGGATTTCCCAAGAATTTAGAGTTCCCTAATAAAAGTCCACTCCAAAGCGTGCTCGCTCTCTCTCACCAGCCTATGGTGTAGTCCCTTAGTGTCCGGTTTGGAGACCTTGAGGCCGGGGGCAGAGGAGCCGTCCTGGAGCTTGGTTTAAAGGTAAATTGTGTGTCTGTGTTTTATTTCTAACACCCCTTGAGAATTTCCCCTGAGTGACCAAACAGTTAGCTGTCTGTGCTGGACACGGATGATAGCTGGGAAACAAGTTTCCTCAGAAAATAAGTTTTTGTCTGAGTAGGCATTTGAATACTTGTCATCCCTAATATCTATTACATCAACCCTCCTAAGATGTACTTTTCCATCTCTGCCCTCTAAAAGCTTATACATTACAAAAAATATTATAAAGCAAATCTTATATATTGGCCATTTTAAGGTATGACCTTGACAGTATTACTGGATTTCAACCACACCATTAAATCCCTTCTTTTTTTGTCCAGGGATCCAGACTCTACAGCTTTACCACCAGGTGGCGCTCACCAGAAGTTTGCCTCAGCTACTTCCTACTTTTTCTTTAACTCCTGCACTTTTCTTCTTCTCCTCCCCTCTCTCCTTCCTTCCTTCCCCACTTGAATTTTTGTCTGTATTTTAAATGGAGGACATAATTAATTCAGCAAATACGTAATGTTTATAATGTTTCAGGTGCAGAACTTAGCCTTAAGATTTCTAAAACTTCTACAAATATTTATTGAGTACCTGTTGTGAATCAGGCACTGTTAGTTCCTTGGGATACGCTAAGAAACAGAATGCAGATTTCTGTTTATGTGGCAGTTTACATGGTAGAAAGCAGGGAGGCATATATGGAAAAAGCTACCATAATAAATGAATTAGTCAGTTTGGAAGTCATAAGTGCTAAGGATATAAACTAGATTAGAGTCAAGGGGTTGGTGTGCTGTGCGGGAGGGTGCTGTTTAAGCAGGGTGGTGGAGTCCACCTCATTGGGAAGGTAACGGGTTGACTGAAGCCTATAGGAGGTGAGAGTGAGCCTAGAGGAAGGACCTGGGTAGAGGAAACAGCCAGGGCAAAGGCCGTGTGTTTGAGGGGCTGGAGGGAGAGCAGGTTGCAGGAGAGACAGGGAAGGGGGAAGAGAGGTAGGAGGGCAGCAGAGGAGGAAGGAGGGCCCTGTCTTCTTAGGGCCCTGCAGGCAGGCCTGGGACTCTGGTTGTGCAGCAGATCCTGACACCCATTCCTGAGGGAGTGCTCTGGCTGCCTTGTGGAGAAACTTACTGGTAAAATAGTATTCATTAATTGAATACATATTAATGTCATTGTGCAGTATGAGTCTATATATATATATATATATATAAATAATAAAGCCATGTATGTATTGTATGTATAGAAGAGAGATAATATATTTATCAAGTGAATATATAACCCTAATTGTGAATTCACAGGAAGTCATCTGGAAGGACACTTACCAAATTTCAGTAGAAGAGAGTGAGGGTTAAGGAATGAAAGGAGAGATCAAGCTTTGTTAAAAACTCAAACAGCTGGGCATGGTGTTACCTGTAATCCCCAGAAACTCAGAAGGCTGAAGCAGGAGGATTGCAACTTCAAGGCCAACCTCAGCAACTGAGCAAGGCTCTGTCTCAAAATAAAAATAAGAAAGGCTAGGGGTGTAGCTCAGTGGTAAAGCACTCCTGGGATCCCCAATACCAACACAAAACAACTCTCAAACTTGGTTTGTTGGAGCCTAGTCACCCCATGCTTTCCTTCCACATCCATCTCTTCCTCTGGCTGTTCCTCTGTGTCCCTTATAATACAGTATGATTTAGAATCAATGGGCAAAAGAAATCATTTTCCCCTTTCAGGGGTGGCCTGCTATTCCATTTCAAAAGCACAGACTGTTTTGTGAGGGACTCACAAATCAAAGGCAAAATTACAGTGAAAAATAAGAGAATGAAGTCCACAGAACTGAGAATGGTCAGGGTTGGGGGCGGTGCTCATCATGGGACAAACCACCCAGGGCATTCTAAGATCTAGCTTGTTAGCCTGTTGGTAAGTACACGTTGTTGTTGTTGTTTTAAATTCCTTAAATCATACACATACATTTCATACCCTGTTTTCATACTTAAGAGTATAAGATATTGATTGGAAAGTGGTATTAAAGTTTTCTGTGGTTGTTTTTTTGTGTTACTGGGTATTGAATCCAGGGCTTCACACATGCTAGGCAAGAACTCTACCCCTGAGCCACATTCCCAGTCCCTTTTATTTATTTATTTATTTTTCTTGGAGACAGTTTCTCACTAAGTTGCAGAGACTGACCTTGAACTTGTAATCTTCCTGGCTCAGCCTCCCAAATAGCAGAGGCATCATTGCACCTGGCCAAAGCATTAAATTTTTTGAGAATGATTCCCTGGCTGGAACAAAGCTCCCAGTAGACAGTGACCAATTTGGGGATCGCAGGAATTTGATTATGTTCAGCTTTCCTGCAAGTTCACAAGGGTGTCTTCGGGGAAAGACAGAGTTTGTAATAGCTATAGCATCTGGAAGGACTTTAGGATGGGCCAGAGATAATAATCCAGCAAAAATATGGTCAGGTCATGGTGCTATATATATAGTATTTTATGTAGTTACATATATAGTATTTTATGTAGTTATATCTACAGATTTTTTCAATCTTGTATGTCCTGATTGACATTCTTCACGATTCTTGAGTCGTGGTCACCATGTATATTCATAGGTTATTCTGATGTATAGGATATACATTACTGTTTCCATCATTATTTTAAGCTTCAATGAATACTATTGAACCACTGATCTCTTTTTAAAAAGAAACTCGAGTTTAATATAACTCAATAGTAGTGATAAAAGACTGACAATTCAATAAACATAAACAAGCAAACGATGTGAAAAATACATTAGCCAGGATGAAATGTATTCTGTCAGCTGAATGTTATTTAAGACCATCTGATTAATTCAGTCTTTGAGGAAATGCTCAACATTTAAATGTGCAAGAGCTATTAAGAAGAAAATAGAAATTCTGTGAAATAGTTACAATCTTGCATTTTCAATTGATGAAGTGTAGAGAATCAGATGTGACTGTGTTACTATTACTGTCCTTGATGGAGTCTGCCTGCAAATGGGATATTCTGTCAAGGTTTAGATAAGGTAACAGCGGACATGCTTGAAAATGAGGTGTCTGCTGTCCTTGGGAGGACTTGCCTGCAAACGGGATGTTCTGACAAGTGGGCTAGGAGGGCGCTGAGAAAAATTTTATTATCTGTTCTTAACAAGAGCAGAGCTCGGCAGGCTCTAGGCCGAGAGTAGATTAGCCATGAGAAGCGGGTCACTTCTGATTAGAAAGTAAAACTTCTGTATGCTACGTTTAATTAGCTGAAAGACCTGACTTATTGCTGTTGGAAGGCTGCCTTCTTTGTTCACAATACTATAAAAAGATTGCTTGTATACAATAAAGGACTTTTTTTTCCTGCTGCTGCTTTGCTTGCTCTGCTTCTTCTTTCTTTCTCATGCTGACCTGCGAGTGAATTACTGCAACAATGAAGTATGACTTCATTATATTTCATTGCTTTTTCCTCTAAAATCCCCAACATACTGTGGCCTAATGGAGAGATGGCTGGATTCCATGCTTTGGGATGCTGGTGTAAGTGAGAAGGCCCTTAGAGAGGAGGTGAGCCAATAGGGACCTGAGGGTTTCCATAGGGACCAGAAGACCCTTTTTTACTTCTCCCTCTTGGCCTAATCAGTTGGAGACAGGATAAACCATAACAAGTTAACAACTGTCCCGTTTTTATTTTTTTTTAATTTTTATTTATTTATTTATTTATTTTGTGTGTGTGGTACTAGAGATTGAACCCAGGAGTGCTCTACAACTGAGCTACATTCCCAGTCATTCATTTTATTGTTTTAAATTTTGAGACCAGGTCTTGCTAAGTTGTCCAGGCTGACCTTGAGCTTGTGATCCTACTGCCTCAGTTTCTAGAGTAGCTGAGATTATGGTCCACCTTGTCTGACTATCCTGTCTTTAGATCCTCTCTGCTATCCCTCCTCATTAGCCTTAATTAGTGCTTGCCTGGTCTTTCCAGAATGCCTAACAGGCTTTTCTGGCTGATTTCCCTGGATTACTTAGCCTCGAGTCTGTCTTCCCATGGATCCCCTCGTCTTGCCCAGTAACTGGCACTCAGTAATTACAGCTGGTCCTCAACTTATGCTGGTTCAATTTGGGATTCTTTGACTCTGTTACAGTAGGACGTGACACACATTCAGTAGAAACCATACTTTAGATTTTGAATTAGGATCTTTTCCCAGACTGAAAATATGCAGTTTGATCTGTCATGATACTGGGCGTCAGCAGCAAACCCCAGAGCCCAGTCAGCCACTGCCCTATCACTAGGGCAAACAGCTGACAGACACTCCACAGCATGCTGTTGCTAAGCTGCAGTGGTTAATAGATTAGCTGTAGTCAATGCATTGTTAACATAGCGTATTTTCGATTTATGGGTTTATCAGGATGTAATCCCAGCACAAGATGAGAAGCATCTGTATAGGTCTTCTTCTGCTTGGGCTGTGAGAAGGTGAACTGAATACAAATTGATTGATTCTGGAATACAATTTGCTACTATTGACTATAACACAATCAGAATTTGAAACATGGAACTATTGAATTTGGCACCTCAGCCAGGGGAAGAGTCTGGCACTGGCCAAGAGCAGATTGGTGGAGGGGTTTTACTGGCCTACACAATGTATTGGGGAAGTGACAGATTGTCACCTGGCCTTGGGAACTGGCAGTAGGAGGCTGCTCATGCACTCTACTGGTGCTGAGGGGGTGGGGATAACTCATCCATTCTGATGAGATGTTAGATTATAACGGCCTCTGATTTGGGGCTTTATAGTGGTACACATTAAAAATGACATATATTGAACATTTTATAGGAAAAAGGAACTTGGAGGTAGAATATGAAATTTTCAACTGCCCCCTCAGAAA